AAAGAGCATGAGAATGTGGATTTGTAACTCTAGTTTTTGTTTTGTTTTTTCTTTTGATAAGCTGGAGCTAGAAAGGGACGCAGGGCTACAGCCTATAAAACAGCAACTCAATTACAAAGCATCAGTCTTCATTAACTATTGGTTAGCTAGGATAGGGAAGGTTACACTCTCTGGAATTAAAATATGGAAAATCACAAAGAAATGAATAAGATAAAGAATTATAGAGCCATTTCATGTTAAATGATTTTGCACATAGAGCCCATCCAGTCAAAACTGCCAAAGGTTTGTGTTTGTTCTCATTTTGTTTGAAGGGAGTAAGCTTCCAGCTAGGTCTTGGAAATTACAGAACTAATACACCTTATTGCTGTCAACATGTTTTAGTATACATTTTTTCATTTGTCATGACCCCTTTTATTTATTTTTTTTGCAGTAGGTAGCACAGATGCTAAATCTTATGCTACTGATAAGAATACAGATCGATTCATTCAATAAGAATTTAATGAACATCTTCTATGTTCTACTCATTGTAGTAAACTACTGGGATATGACAGCAGGCAAGACAGATATGGTCACTCCTTTCCTAGAGCTTATAGTCTAGGGGACATTCAGAGTGTAAAAGACCCCTTCAGGGTGGTCACACAGAGGTGGTGGAAGAGCTAAAAAAATATCAAGTCATATGTTTTCTTTATTTGTCAATGTAATACCTCCTATATTACTATTTCAGTGGCATTTAATCTATGGCCCTGGGCATTTTTAAAAAATTCATCATTGCCTTGTTTATTTCTGATTCACAGGTGTGGTTCTAAGTGTGGTGGTGAGCCCTGGGGCAGGACAAAAGCCTGCTTATCTCCTGATCCTGAATGCCAAGGACTTGAGTGAAGTTGCCAGGGCTGAAGTGGAGATTAACATCCCTGTTACCTTTCACGGATTGTTCAAAAAATCCTAAGAACATTCTAATAAGACATGTTTCCGGGCAAAATCAAGAAAAACATAGTCAGGTCTGCAATCAAATTTTGTTCAGTGTGAGCCTGCTGGATTACATGGTTTTAACTTGCACATGCACCCTAGTTTGCAATGTTTTACAGAAGCATAGAGCTGAGCAAACAATTCCTTTTTTAAAAAAGTATATAGTTAAATAATCAGATTCTCTTGAGAAAGGCCCTAACTAAAAAACTCTGTATAGTTAGCAATCAAATAGAAAATGAATGTGAATTTATAAAAATTTTTTATTCCTATTATGAAAGTACATTTGAGGTACCTACCTGCTCCAATAATTTTTTAACATTTAAAAGACAAAGTTCTCTATATCTGATTTGTATGCAGCTTTGCTGAGTCAAGGCAGTATCATGCAGTAAGGCGTAATTACTAAATGTCAAACCAAACTCTTTTTCAAACCAGGAACTATCATCTAAGGGTAATCACCGTAATTGTATGCATATATATATACACGATTGCTGCTCAAGGATTCTCAAGCTTTATGAACTTTAGCATTTCCATTTAGTATAAGCAATTACTACTATTTCTGATTTTACAGTGAGGCAACCTATCTCTAATCAGCTGAGGGCGCTCAACCAAATAACATCTTGATAAGAATTTAATGAATACCTTCCATTAAAAGCCTATATAACATCAAAGCAGTTACAGATAGTATTGACTAATTTTTTGAAAAACAAGAGCATAAAATACTTATAAATATAATTTCTACTTAAAATAGGAGAATGGGATAATGTTGGAGAGTTATACTTTGTGGCCTATTCTCTGTAACTATATTCAAGCACTATACAATCACCTGACCTAACAGAAAGAGAAAGAGAAAGAAAATATTAAATCATTGGCATTTAGATATTAATACATTTTAAGCACTTTTGTTTTTAAAAATTATTCTATTCTGTGCTATATCTTGGAAAAAATAATAGACTGACAAAAAATTTTATTCTCTGTCTTAATCCTAGTATCTATTTTATGCTCAAAAGTATTACATGTCATTGTATTTAAGATGATCAGCATTGTGTTTGACTAAGTAAAAACAGCTTGAAGGAACAGACTGACTAGGGAACTTCATACATCTGTTTCATTTCTTTATTTAGATAAAGAGGCAAGTTCGTTTTTTAATTATAAATACTTATTAAAACATACTTTTCAAAGAAAATCTAAAATTACAGGAAAGTGGAAATTATAAAGTAAAATCATACAGAGCACCTCAAAGTTCAAATACTATTAACATTTGTGTACTTGTCTTTTCAATAATTTTTCCTCTGTGGATTTTTAATGTAATCGTTATTTCTTTGCAGGTAATTTCTGGATAGAACTAGAAATCTCAAAAAAGAAAAAGAAAAATGCCAGAGAATAGCATTGAACATGTGACTGTAGATAAATATCAGTCCATTGTTTGTTTGCTTTTTATCTCTAGACATGGAACATAAATATAATTCCACAAAGAAAGCTATTTATCCATTTCTTTTTAAAATGCAGAAAATAAATTACTCAACAATTACCAAGATTTAAACTTATTAAAGTCTCCAAATTTAAGAGAATTCCTAAAACCGCCACTACTTACACTTGCCAACCACTCCCTGCCTTCTTTCCATTAAGTTTCCATAAGGAAGTCTGACAATTCTGTGTGTCCACCTCTCCTCCTGTTATAAGACCCCATTCTGAGCATGGTGCTCTCCGGAGAGCACTATAGTGTTAAGAAGAGACAGGCAGATCCGACGAAAATAACCTCTGCCAATACTATTTCACCAAAATTGGAATTCTCTATACAGTCAGTCATTGTTGATATTGTACCAAGAAGGCTTAGGAACTGCTTTTCAAGAGAGACGGAATGTGAGCTTTAAAAATTTAACTGAAATCAAGGATATTTAAGTCAGGCAAGAGGGAGTAACTTAGGAATTTAGGCTGAAAAAATTAATGAACCTGCTTTCTAAGAACCAGAGCTACTCATTTGGGGTATCTAGAGAACTATTAATATGTGCCATCTACACCAAAATAAATGTTTTAAGAAAAAAAAATTAATTGAATTAAGACAAATAAACATGTTAATAAGTAGTTTTAAAATAACTTGTTTGTGTAATTTTTTTCCGTTTTGGGCATCTTATATCTGTCACAGCCAAGAGCAAAGGATACTACAACCTTTGACAATATTAAAAGGTAATTAATGACTGATAACTGCCTCATAGCAGAGAATCTGGACAGAGCTCCTGTACTATATTCTAAACCAGAAAAGACCACTAGACAACAAAGGTGGCCTGCCTTTCGAGAGTTCAGTGGCAGTGCTATTCCATCACCCCGCAGTCTGGCTAAAGAATAAAATGCAGCGCTTTCTTCTATAAACCTGATAGGAATGATCAAGCATTAGGATCATAGAGAACATGTTCCCTACGGGATCCCCTAAGGGACATCAAATCTGGTAAAACTAAGTCTCAATGGTAAAACAATCTCTAAAAAACTCACGCTTATTTAGTGCCTTTTATTTTTACAGAAAAGTGGTCATTTCTCCTAATACTACACCCATCGTGATACTATCTTCACCATTTTGAAGATGAGGAAAGGGACGCTGAGTTACTTTTCTAGTGAGTGGCAGAACTGAAACTGAAATCTAAACCGAATAGTTCCCTCCACTGAAATTTTGGTTTCTGATACCTTCTGAAATATCCCTACTAGTCTAAAAGTTTATTTCAAATACAACCACTATCATACTACTTAGTCACGAAGTCTGGGTGCAAATAAAATCTTCAACTGTGCAGTAACTCTTACTATTGGTTAGTGGGCCAAAATGTTCCTTCAATAACAGTGACCATGTACCAAAAATTTATTATGCAAGGGACTCCATACATTAGTCCCTATAAAGTTCTGTGTGTAGATATGATGATCCCATTTTGCAGGTAAAGAACGTGAAGCTCAATGAGTTAAATAACTTGGCCAAGTTTACACAGAGAACGGGAATCAGATTCCAAGTGACATCTGTGTCTGTTGGACACTGAACTACTACTTTTAGGTAATTCACAATTTCAGCATTAGATCACTACATTCCTTTTGATGACATCCTAAAAGGGTAAGTTTTCAGTGCTGTTAAAATGCAAGTACCATGCAAAAATTATTGTGGAACACAAAAAGAAAATGGCTAGGTCCGATCTGATTCCAAAGTTTGAGAAGCTGTGCAATGTGCAAGAGGCACTAGGCTATTGGAAGGTATGTATTATGTCACTTGGACTTTGTAATAAACAAAAATGTTAGGTGTTTCTTTTGGAGTGCCATATAAAGGTTACTGAAACACTAAGGGCTTTGTGAACCATGAAAATTTGGGAACGTCTGTTCAAGACTTTGGTTTTTAACTTAGTAGGTAAAGCTCTAACCTTATAGGACCTACTCTAACTCTAAAGGTCTGTGATTTAAATAAATTCATAAATTTTTCTTCAGAATAAATAACTGTATGTCAATTCTTAAAGTTACACAAAAGAGCTTTACTTAATTATGAAAAAGAAAAAAGTAAGATGATGGAATCATATGCAGTATTTCTGTGATTAGTCTGTTTATGGACATTTCTTATTCTAATATGTTCATAATGTTATATTAGATGGAAAATAAAATACGTTTAAGAAGTTAACAACAGAAATCTCAAAACTCACTGTCTCTCAAGTTCCTTTTTTTTTAAGATTTTTTTATTGGGGAACTGGGGGGATGGGAACAGTGCTGGGGAATTGGGGGAAGGGGAACAGACAAGTTGCTGTCTTTATGTTTTCAGTCTAGTTGTGGAGGACGTTGCTTCACTGGCCCAAGTTGGCACCATCATTGCACTCTTCCCGGGCGAGGCAGGTCAGTCACCGGCTTCTGGACGGCCGCTCACTGAGGCTGCTGGCCACTCACGCTGGCTGCTGGCTACACAGGTAGCCCATGGCAACCCACTGCCACAGGGACTGCAGCCTACGCCGTCGCCGGCAACTCACAGCAGCCCAGCTCCAAGTTGAGCTGTTGTTCAGCATCTTAGCTGTGGAGGGCAGTGTCACTGGCCCTCATATGTGGGATCCGAACCGGGGCCCTCTGGCATCCCAAGCCAGTTCTTAACCATCACTCCACTTGGCCGGCCCATCCTCAAGTTCTTTTACTGTAGCTTCATCCACAAACATATCTTCATCTCCTTTTAGAATGTAAGCAAAGGGGTATCTCCCATCCAGGAGAGCAACCTTTGCGATGGGCCATAAGAAAAAGAATTCAGGATCAAAGGATCTCTGACACTAAAAGAAGAAATATTGCTAACTTATGGAATCAGGTGAATAGTGCATTTATAATGGGATATTAATGATCAACTAATTGAAGAAGCAAAGAATATACATTATAGCTGAAGCTATTATAAAGAGTTCAATAAATATTTAAAAGCTTAGATGTGATGGCTAAGCTGATGTGAAATATAGAAAAGACTTTTAGATTCTTCTTAACCGTGGTTGGTCATGAGTTATTATTTCAGTGGTATAATAGGAAAGAGTAGTAGACTTGACTTTGAATGGCTTGGGGAAGATATAAAGCAGCCAACATAGTGCTTGGCACATAACAGCTACTCAATAAATGGTAGCTAATATATATTTAATTTGGGATTTCGACAAATTTACCAGCTTTCTATGCTACATGATTTGTTATAGTCTTTAATATTTAAAGTGTTTTATGATATCCTACAACAGAGAGAGTATAAATCAAATCTTAATCTTATATGAGGACAGAACCCTTTAAAAAAATGTATTGGGGAGTTGGGGAAGGGAAACAGTGTTGGGGAATTGGAGAAAGGAAACAGCCAAGTTGTTTTCCTTCAGTCTTAGTTGTGGAGGGCACAGCTAGTTCAGCTCCAAGTCCAGTGGCCATCCGGCCATCAGTCAGCAGCTCCCAGCCACTCAGCTCAAGGTGCCGTGTTCAATCTTAGTTGTGGGGGCATAGCCACCATCCCATGTGAGAGTCGAACTGGAAACCTTGTTGCTAAGAGCGAATGCTCTAACCACTGAACTATCCGGCCGCCCTTCAGCAGCTCAGGGCAGCTGTTGTTAGGAGCATGTGCTCTCACCAGCTAAGCCATCCTACCACCTGTTGGCAGCTCAGTGGCAGCTCAGCTCGGGCGCAGCTCACTGTCCCATGTGGGAATGCGATCCTGTTGCTCAGAGTTCCTGCTCTTAATCAACTGAGCCACTCAGCCGGTCCCAGACAGAACACTTTTTTATTGGAGCATATCATGAAACATATGTTCCAAAAATGAACTAGAATGCTAATAAGCATCCAGTTTTTGCCAGGCCAAAAACTAAGAAAATAACTCGAAAAATATAGAATAAGAAACAACAGGAAAATTAAAATAGTACACTAGAAAATATTTAACACAACACAATAATGGAGGAAGAAAGGAATAAAAAAAACAAAAGATATATAGAAAACAAATAGCAAATAGGTAGACTGAAATCATATCTTATCGGTAACTACATTAAATATAAATGCATTGAACACTTCAATCATAAGACAGGCAGAATGTGTTTTTCAATGAGCTAATGATCACACTTTAGATTCAAAGGCACAAATAGGTTGAAAGCAAAAGTATGGAAAAAGATGTACTATACAAAAAGTAACCAAAAGGGAACTGGAATGACTATACTAAGATCAGATAAAACAGACTTTAAGACAAAAGTTTTTACTAGAGGCAAAAAGGATATTTTATAATGATAAATGGATCAATCCATCAGGATCATAAAAGGGAATGTTATGAACAACTCTATGTCAACAAATTAAGAACCTGGATGGACTAAACAAATTCCAAAAATACACTAACAACAAAAACTGACTCAAAAAGAAATATAAAACCTGGATATACCAATAAGAAGTAAAGAGATTGAATTAGCAATTTTAAAACTTCCCAAAAGAAATATCCAAGCCCAGATGGCTTTACTCGTGAATTGTACCAAACATTTAAAGAAAAATTAATACCAATTCTTCAGACTTTTCCAAAAATGTAGACATAGAGAAAACATTCCCCAATTCATTCTAGTATTATTCTGCATTACACTGAGGCCAGTATTACCCTGATAACAACACCAAAAATGTCACAAGAAAAGAAAACTATAGGCCAATATAATTTATGAATCTATATGGAAAAATCCTCAATAAAATACTAGCAAACTAAATTCAATAATACAAAAAAAAGGACTCTGCACAATGACCAAATGGGATTTCTCCTAGGAATTCAAGGTTGGCTTAACATCCCAAAATTAATCAGTATAATGTATCATTTTGCAATATTAAGGACAAAGCCACATGATCATTTCAGTAGATGCAGACAAAGCATTTGAAACCATTCATAATTAAATAGAGACAAAATATTGCAAACATAAGAAAGCTTCTTCATCCTGATAAAGAGCATCTATGAAAAAACCCATAGTTAACATTGTATTTTATAATGAAAGACTGAATTTTTCTCCCCATGATCAGGAATAAAAGAAAGATGCCTGTTCTCTCCATTACTATTCAACATTGCACTGGAAGCTCTAGCCATAGCAGTTAGACAAGAAAAAGAAAGAAAATGTACACAATTGGAAAGGAAGAATAAAACTATATCTATTCACTGATGACATGATTTGTACATACAAAATTCTAAGGAATTCATTAAAACAACTATTAGAATTAATAAACAAGTTCTGCAAATGTATAGAATACAAGATCAATATCCAAAAATTAGTTGTATTTCTATACACTAGCAATGAGCAATCTGAAAATAAAACTAAGAAAGCAATTCCACTTATAATAGTATCGAAAAGAACAAAATATTTAAAAATAGACTTAATGAAAGAAGTTTCAAGACTTGTACACTGAAACTATAAAATTACATTGAAAGAAATTAAAGAATTCTTAAATAAATGGAAAAACATCCTGTATTCTTGAAGTGGAAGACTTACTATTGATAAGAAGACAATATAATCCAAATTTACATACAGATTTAATATAATCTATGCCAAAACCCCAGGTGCTTTTAAGCAGAAATTTACAAGTTGATCCTTTAATTCATATGGAAATAAGAGACTAAGAATAGCAAAAATAATCATGAAAAAGGAAGATCAAAATTGAAGAATTCACACGTCCCATTTCAAATCCACTCCAAACTACAGTAATCGAGACAGTGTGGTAGTAAGGATAGACAAATAGATCAAATGAACAGAATAGAGTCCAGAAAGTAACACTCCCATTTGGTCAAATGATTTTTAACAAGGTTACCAAAATAATTCAATGGGGAGAGAATAGTCTTTTCAAAGAATGGTTCTGGGAAAATTGGATATCCACATGCCAAAGAATAAAACTGTCCCCCTACCTCACATCATATGCAAAAATTAACTCAAAATATATCACAGAACTAAATGTAATTGCTAAAACTTTAAAACTTCTAGAAGAAACCATAAATCTCTGTAACCTTGGTTCAGACAACAGTTTCTTAGATATGATATCAAAAGTATAAGCAACAAAAGAAAAAGTAAAAAATTGGACTTTATCAAAATTTTTTAAATTTGTGCTTCAGAGGACACCATCAAGAAAGTGAAAAGACAACCCACAGAATGGGAGAATATATTAGTAAAAAATATATCTCATAAGAAACTTGAATATATATATATATATATATATGTATATATATAATATATATTCTAATAATATTCCTAGGAATATTTATTAATAATTGTTATTTGCTTGTATTTCAAAGCTAGCTTTCAAAAGCTATTCATTTTAAAATCGTATGTGTAATCATGTCCACCTCTCACCATAGTTCATAGAATAGAGAACACAAAATACTTGACATCCTTTTATTTTATTTTACTTTTTTTAGCTGAGCCATCCTGTCACCTGTTGGCAGCTCAGCGGCCGCTCAGCGGCTGCTCAGCTCAGGGCGGGAACTGAACCGCTGTTGCTCAGAGCTCAAGCAAGTTCTTAACCAACTGAGCCACTCAGCCGGCCCTACTTGACGTCCTTTTAGAATCACCAAATCTTAAAATTGAAAGGACTTAAGAAGTCATCCAGGCCACCCTTTATCTGAAGTATAAATCTTCTTTTCCACATTTCAGAGTAAGGATTATCTTATCTATTTTTCAACTCCCAGTGACAGAAACCATTATTCCTGAGACAATGCATGCATTAATTTACAATTCTATTTGTGAGAAAACCAGTCTTTACTGAGACAAAACCTACTTACATTAGGATTATAAACAATAACTCTCTTACAAGAAAACAGCAGAAAAATCTTGCTTAGTTCCAAGAAAGCAGTGCTTGTGAATATTCTTTGTGCTAGCTTTAGATAACAGGTATATTCAAAACATATAGGGCCGGCCAAGTGGCTCAGTTGGTTAAGAGCTTGCTCAAGAGTTTGAGCTCTGAGCAACAGCAGTTCAATTCCCAGCCCGAGCTGAGCAGCCGCTGAGCTGCCAACAGGTGGCAGGATGGCTCAGCTTAAAAAAACAAAACAAAACAAAAACCATATAAAGCACATGTCAAAAACAGCAATAAAAAATAAGTAAGATATTAAAATTCTGTTTTCTTAAAATTAAATGGTAGAACCACAATCCTGCAAACTAGAAATGTGTTTAGCA